GTACTTGCCCCGTCATTTTTTACGGGCTATACGCTAGTTAGTTAATAGTTTACTCTCGTTTATATTAGTGATAATTATTAGGATTGATCGGATTTCGGAGTTTTCACTCTTCATATCCAATCAGGTTGAGATATTTTTAGATCGGATAGTAGATATGGCCATACATACATATTAAAAATGATCACCTATGGCATACAGTTTTAACACAACTAGTGGGTGTGATATTTATTTAGATTATGGAACGATTATCTGTTACACTCATTAATACGAGGGAAAATATTACTGTCAGATTTTTATATGTATGTATGGGCTGGATTCTTTACAGTAGATGTCTGTGATTGTTGGCGATAAATTTCAACAATAAACAAAGAGCACACAGTCCACTTGTTTTATATAATATATTGAATATATAATATATAGTCAAATGTATATACACAAGTTCGTTACACAGTTAATTACCACAGTTTTAGCCAGAGCTTTAGATAATTCACTCTTTTTCGTCAAAGTCCACACGGGCTGGATCAGTTACTTTAGAACACAATTGTCAAGACAAATTGTTCTTCTATACTCTGTTATTACAATACAATCTGTGATAATTTCACTTTAAAACAGCACCACTATACCTTCTTTATTCACAAACACCCAGTCTAGATATATCTCTTTATAAGAGCTTTTCCTAAGGAATTTTTGAAATGCACAATCATATTTTAACTTCATAATTTGTTAATAGATGATGTCTTATTGTACCTCATATATACAGGCCTAGTAACAAATGATCCAAAAATTGAATAATGTTTTAGTAAATACGTTTATTTATCAACTCTGGAATGGAATTTTGTAATCTTAAACACGTTTTGTTAATCCACTTGAACTCACTTATACAGGTGAACTTTCAACTACACGAGTATTTTTATAGGTGCACAATTTGTGATCAACTGCATATTAGGAAAACTCCTGCTCTAACTCACTTTTTTCTTACTAACTTTATCGACACTATATATATATATATATATATATACACACAAACACACACACGCGAAAGCAGTCTCGAACATTCTACACACTATCAGATATTATGATCCAACAATATTCAATTAAAGCGACGAGAAAAATTCAGAGAATCCGAGTAACGTGACGTCAAATCACAACAATTAAACTACGCAACGAATGATTCGTACGCATTTACGTAAACAAACCTTCAACAAACTATCGCTTCTAAAAATAGCTAAATTTAACACTTGCGCTATACTCAAACAACATAAATCACAATACTCGGGTTAACTTAAACAGTCGTGTATATCTAATTGTTACTATGTTTAGAAGCTAGCAGAAAGAACCAGTGAGCTAGATGACGCAATCCTATTATATGTGACACACGTGCAACTGGTATCATGCCTGTCTAACATTGTTAAATACACCAATTCGATTTTCGATACCTCACTACTATAAAGGCTTGATTTGGTCTGACATTTCATTGGTGGTAGTATCCAGGGTCACTGAGGAGGAGTGGAATTCTCCGAAATTAGTCTTCTCACAAACACACCCCCAATGAAAGAATAGACCATTCCAAGCTTTTACTTGTTGTTAAACAAATGTTTAAACAACTCTATTTATTCAATTATGTACCAGCTGCCCAGTGTTGGCTAACAATACGAAGAATGAAATTGTGGCAAAATGCTACAAGTTCCTGAAACACCTATAGAATGATAGGTTTCTTTTTTGTGAGTGTAAAACACTTCAATACACCATTTCGGTTTATTTTGTTTATTTCAGGATTTACGTTTCAACTATGACCACAACTGTTCAGATAATCGTCCTTGCATTGCTCCTGGTTCACAGTTCTGAAGCAGGATTGGGTTATAATTTGTTAAAGAATGTAGCGAAGAAGGGAACAATACTTCCAATACCGATCCCTATACCCATCGTATCTGGTTACACTCACACGGAATATGTTCCGTAAGTACCTTTTTCTGATGTATTACACATATAACATGTTCCATAAGTATCTTATTTTTATGTCTTACACATCTATGTTCCGTAAGTACCTTCTTCTGATGTAATACATATATAATATTTTCCGTTAAGTACCTTCTCCTGGTGTATTGCACGTATAATATTTTCCGTAAGTACCTTCTCCTGATGTATTGCACGTATAATATGTTCATTAAGTACCTTCTTCTGAGGTATCCAATATATAATATGTTCCGTTGTTTGTTGTTAAATGCTACACACAGTGGGCTATCTGTACTCTGTGTACCGCCGGTATCAAAACCCGATTTTTAGCTTTATAAGCTGTAGGGAGGGGAAGGCATGTTGTAAGAATTTACCTCTTATCTGTTTACGTCTTAAACATGTAAAAACAATAGGAATGAAATTGAATAATGCTGAAATATATATGTAAATAATTTATTGAAATATTTTAAACCTAATTTTTGCGTCGATTATGAGAGAAATATAGATTAGAAAATTTATTCTACAGAGGGCTGAGTATATTGTTATACTAAAACAATTTTGAATAAGCAATTCAGCAAGTCACATGACAACCACAGCTTCTATGAGGTAACAACGGACGACGTGTTTTTGACACTGCTATGTTTTACGTAGGTAGTGTTAAGCCACCGAAAATTATCGCTTTAGGTTAGGGTATGTAACAGCATTAAATGCTATAGACTCCGATCATAACGACATATTCAGATCGAGAACTTCCAAATGGGGTATATCCTTTGTATTTAATGTCAGGGGGAAATCCGAACATGTAACACAGGCAGCAGTACGCAACAAACAAGGAGAAAAAGCGAATAAAATACACAAGTTACTCCCATAACATATTTGTTCGACCGTCGCATAACCCTAGAGCCCAACTCTAATAACTGTAATGTAATCTAACTAGCACAGAAACCCTGTTCTCTAAAGCCCAACTCTAATAACTGTAATGTAATCTAACTAGCACAGAAACCCTGTTC